AATGATAGCGGCTAGAGAAACTGAAATAGACCCGTTTTCTGTTTTGGGTCCTCTGGTTGGTTTGGATAAGGGCACTTATGTACAACAGATTTTTGACATTGAGAAACCTTTGGAGGACCTGTTGTCCTGTGAGTGGTAGTGGACCCCCATACCTATCCTGAGAGTAGTAGTGGACCCCCATATCCATCCTTGTGAGTGATAGTGGACCCCCGTACCCATCCTGAGCGTGGTAGTGGACCCCCGTACCCATCCTGAGCGTGGTAGTGGACCCCCATACCCATCCTGAGCGTGGTAGTGGACCCCCATACCCATCCTGAGCGTGGTAGTGGACCCCCATACCCATCCTGAGCGTGGTAGTGGACCCCCATACCTATCCTGAGCGTGGTAGTGGACCCCCATACCCATCCTGAGCGTGGTAGTGGACCCCCATACCCATCCTGAGCGTGGTAGTGGACCCCCATACCCATCCTGAGCGTGGTAGTGGACCCCCATACCCATCCTGAGCGTGGTAGTGGACCCCCATACCCATCCTGAGCGTGGTAGTGGACCCCCATACCCATCCTGAGAGTAGTAGTTGTCTATATATTATATATGGCCGCGTTATAGGCCTATCCTTCGTACCACATAGCGTCTAGACCTAATAATAATTATATTTGAATATATACAGAACAAGATTCAGTGGTTAAAACAGTAAATAAATGCACATTTATGGCGCCTGCCCTTATATGCTTCATACGTGATCACGTGACACAGCTTCCTTCACGTGTACTCACCTAGTTGTGCTTGTGGGGGTTGAGCTCTGGCTCTTTGGTCCCGCCTCTCAATTGTCAATCAACTGGTGTACAGATTCCTGAGCCTACTGGGCTCTATCATATCTACATTTGGAACTGTGTATGGAGTCAGCCTCCACCACATCACTGCTTAATGCATTCCACCTGTTAACTACTCTGACACTGACAAAGTTCCTTCTAACTTCTCTGTGGCTCATTTGGGTATTCAGTTTCCAACTGTGTTCCCTCGTTCGCGTCCCACCCGTGGCATGCGGAGGTACCTACCACCCGTGTGGAGGTATGCCGTTGTTAATCCTAAGACAGAGGGAACTAACTGCTCAATCATGTGGACAATCCTCAACCATTATGTGCGGACAAACAACCAAGCTATGTGGTCTGCCTCGCCCATCAACCCAAGACCTCAAGGAACGTCCGTTGAAATACGTTGACGCTCACAACTCACATTATACTCTATAAACTGTTTAAAATGCATCAAATAGTCTCGCTACAGGATTTTAACCCTAATAATACCTAGCAATATTTTGTAAAATTGTATGTATTTCTCTCATCATACAAAGCAATTAATATAACGCTAATTGGCAGTCACACGAGCCTAAAACTGGATGAGTCGTGTGATTTGAAATTCCAGTTATATTTCCTAGGGTGAGCAAGGCCGGGCTAGCTGGGAATACAAGAAATTAAATAAATAGTGGTGGGAAAAAACAAAGTAGCCTGTGTTGCCAGCACGGTGTCCGTCATTTTTGGCCCGCTTTTTTTTCGGCCGCGATGGCTTTTGCATCAATTTATTGTTTAATGTCAACATTCCATTAGAATGGAATGTTGCATTAAACACATTTCTCACTATGAACACGATGAGAAATATGTACACAAAAATCGACCAAATTTATTCAAAACCACGTAAGGAGAAATTGAAAGCAAAAGTCAAATTTCAACCTTATAAATTAATGAGCCTAAATGCTATTCAAACTTAATGACATTAAATAATATACGTAAACTCAGGCCAAATAGAAATTCACTCGAAATAAATATGAAACGAGTTCAAAACTATTGAAGGTTCGTAATAGACGTTAGAGTTAAGAGGTCAACACTCTTCATAACAAAAACGAATGCGGAACTTTACAAGAGAGAGGGAGGGAGGGTAGTGGGGGGGGGGGTAAGGAGGGGATTAGAGGGATGGTGGGAGGGGGATTAGAGGGATGGTGGGAGGGGGATTAGAGGGATGGTGGGAGGGGGATTAGAGGGATGGTGGGAGGGGATTAGAGGGATGGTGGGAGGGGGATTAGAGGGAGGGTGATTAGAGGGATGGTGGGAGGGGGATTAGAGGGATGGTGGGAGGGGGATTAGAGGGATGGTGGGAGGGGGATTAGAGGGATGGTGGGAGGGGATTAGAGGGATGGTGGGAGGGGGATTAGAGGGATGGTGGGAGGGGGATTAGAGGGATGGTGGGAGGGGGATTAGAGGGATGGTGGGAGGGGGATTAGAGGGATGGTGGGAGGGAAGGGAAGGAAATAACGACACTGAATGTATTTTAAACTAAGCTTACGTACTGACTGATTTGACCTTAATTATAACAAGTGTCATATTCCTGGCTGTTATATCAAACTGTCATATGTAGTAAGCTTCTAGTGAGAGAGTGAGAGAGAGAGGGGGGGAGGGGGGTTATCTATCAGTAACTACAAGGAAGTGGGGTCTACCTCTTTATGCCCAGACTACTAGCTTTGTTGTACCTGTTGCCTTATAACCTATCTATTCTTATGCTTCCCGGGCGGAAACATGCGAGATTTATACCTGATCAACCAGGCTGTGACTCATACGTCACAGTTAGGCTGGTTGATCAGTCCAGCAACCAGGAGGCCTGGTCGACGACCGGGCCGCGGGGACACTAAGCCCCGGAAGCACCTCAAAGTAACCTCAAGGTATGCTCAAATTTCTTTTTTAATCTGGTCTTAAAGCTGTGAATGGAGGTGGCTTCTACAACATCCTTTTTCAGAGGCAGTAGAGAGGAAGGAAAGAATATTGGGAATGAAGAAGGGTGTTAGAACAGAAGGAATGAAGAGAGGTAATAAAGATAAGGGAGGGTAGGAAAGAATGGAGGAAGGAGAGGAAGAATGGAGGGGAGGAGAGGAAGAGTGGGGGAAGACTTGAATCATGCCTGGAGTGGGCCTAGGAGTTCTTCTACTCCCTGAGCCCGGCCCGGGGCCAAACTCGATTTGTGATAACTTGCCCAACTGTCTATTGCTTGGAGCAACCCGCAGGTCCACACATCCGCTACAACCCGGTTGGTATGCATTTCTTGCAAGAACCTATCTCATTGTTTTTTGAAGAAGTCCACCTTTGTTTTGGCAATATTTCTAAATGCAAGAAAGAAAGAAAGGCAGGAAAGGGAAAGCAGAGAAGGATGGATGGATGTATTGAAGGAACATGCTGGTAAGATGGATGGGAGGGAGAGATGGAAGGAGGTGTGGGAGGGGGGAGGGAAGGGAAGGGAGGTAGGGAAAGAATTAGAGGAGGTAAGGAAATAAGGATAGGGAGATAAGGAAAGAAGGAAGAAAGGAAAGCAAAGAAGCAAGGAAGGATAAGAGATACTCCAAGAAAAGCCAGACGTACAAAGGCAAACAGCAATTGGGTTATGCCAGCTTCAGCTAAGGGTACAGGAGCACAACACAGGTGAGCAAAAACTATGGAAGTTGAGGAGAACCAAGGAAAGCAGGCAGACAATGGGATGTGCCACAAATGACCCGGGCTTGAGAACAGCAAAGTGAAGTAGAAGTACTTGAAAAGATAATACAACAGAGGAGAGCAAACCAAGAAAGCAGAGGAACAACTCCAAACATGCACGAACTGCTCTAGCAGTAGTAACAAAGGCAAACAGCAATTATGGTAAGGCAGCTACATTCAGCAACACAGCATCACACACGACAATTGTGTACATGGCTGAAGCAGACTCAGGCCTGGGAGAAAACATATACCAACCAACAGTCACAGGCCAGAAAAATTTTAATTCCAATGACCTGACATGATGAGATCCAAAGCCAAAATATGGGGAGGCACCCAAAATGTGCTATATATCAAGCCAATTGTCATGCCTGAAAATGCACAACGACAAAGACATAAAATGGCACAAACATCTAGCCACCAGATACTTTTTTGAATGTTTTTATTAATAAATACAAGAGTTCTTACACTCTTGTATTAGTGGCTTGTAAAGCCACTAGCATCCATAGTGTTTTGGGCAGGTCCTTAACCTTAATTTTCCCAGCAACACAACTCACCAAATCATTTAACAATCAAGTACCCATTCACTGCTGGGTGAACAGAGGCATAGTTAAGGATTGGTGCCTAGTCAATCCTCCCTGGCCAGGATAAAAACCCAAGCCAAAATGCTCACGAAGTGCTGGGAGTGTCTTACCACTGTGATATGGGGACTTCAAACAGAGGCACGAAATCCAAAGCACACATGAGGGGTGTACTTTAAGGACATATATGCACAGAACCTAGGGCTAGTGCTTGAAGAAGGAGCCCAGCTGCAAGAGACCAGTACAGCATACCATCACCTCATGAGAGGGAATGGTAAACATCTGGCAAAAACAGAAACAGAAGGCAGCCACACTACCTATTAAACCAGAATCCAAAGGCCCACAATGGGATTACACTATGGATAGAAGGAGCTGGAACAACTGAAGAGCAGTCAAACCACACTGAAGGTTAAGGCAACTGAGCACCTGAGAAGATAACGTGAAAGCTGCAGGTTGTCAACAACCAGCATCAGAAAACTCTGACAAGGCTGATGCAAAACAGAATCAAGACATGCAAATGACTGGGTCACAATGCATGTAAAGTGAATATTACTCAATACAATCAATCATCCACCCATACAATAATTCACTAAACAACACAATCACATACAGAATAAATAATTTGTTTATTCAAGATAATAGAATGCAAAAACAATACCATGCATTTGTTAATAAATGTACAGTACCTGCTATTTGCCTCAGCCTTGAACATCTCTTTATAATGGCATTCACATCTTCTACTAGAGTCCGCTCTATCTCTACACGTTACGTACCTTGAGAAAAGAAAAAGAAAAAATTAGAGCATGATATTGAACAAACTAAAACTGTACACAATATATTAAGCAATCACCAATATTCTTTACCAAGTTACAGTACTAAACAATGCATACACAAGGTACCTTGCGTTTCTTACCTGTTGTTTCCGAAGTTCACTGTGTCTGAGATCTTCAAGGGAACAGCGTGTGGGCGTTCTGCCACCATCCCTGCTCAACCCAACTCCTGTCGCACCCATGCCCAGTGTCCAAGAACCCGTCATAGATGATGACGTCACACCCGAGTTACTAGAGGGCGTCCGGTGATGACCAGACAGACGAGACATGGATGTAGATGGCATTGTTGCTGTGGTTGACAGAGTGGTCGAATGAGTGGTTACTGGGGAAGTTGTATTAGCAGTGGGTGGTACTGAAGGAGAAGAGGGTGTGGGTGGCAAAGGAACTGAAGGTGGAGGTGGGAGGTTATTGGATAATGCATCAGGTGAATGTGGGGCATGGTTTAATGGGGCAGTGGCAACTTGGTAACTGCTGGATGAGCTTGGTGGAGGTGGCAAGGAACGATACATGATGTTGTGAACAGAGGTCATACCAGAGGAGGAGACTACAGTGGACACCCCAGTCACCCCTGGGTAGCCTGAATTTAAGGGAATCGAGCTGCCTGGGCTCCAGCGAGTGGACGTGACAGGAACACGAGGAGCCAATGGAGGTGGAGCCTGGGAAAATGAAAAATAATATCCACTGTAAAACATATTTACAATCTTTATCACTAAACATAAACTATGGGGAGAATTCTGTCTTAGTTAATTATATGATAATCAAATGCTTGACAGTAAACAACTGGATAGATATACAGCTACCAAGATGGTAATCTAAAGGCCAATTCCTCAGTTGTGTTATAGGGCATTTACATACAGAAATTTTGTTTCTTCTGTGAGAGAGAAGAATGGTAGTGGTGAGTCAGATATACCCACACTCTAATGAACCTAACTAGACCTAATCTTGCCTAATTAAATCTATCCTTACTTAACTAAACCTAGCCTAGTGCATGAACCTCAAAACTCAAGACATATGTTTGAAATTCAACATAATAGATATATTACAGTTTTTATATCTACCTCAGTAGTCATATACACTCCATAAATAATTATACATGCATAGAACAAGATATCCATTTTTGTACAATGAACGTGAAGACATTTTTAGATTAGAAAGTTCCATCATTGTAGCTGTTTTCAATCTACACATGTCTGTGGTACCTATGAAAGAATACATAAACCAAACTGACTAAGCTATGGTCATTAGGTCCTGGAAGTGATAATATAATATTATCACATTAATAAAGCACACTTGACATGATGAATATAAATCTGTATATGAAACACTTTTTAATTTAGAAACCATACTTGTGCTCAGTCTCAAACCCATTGTTGATGTGACGATGTGCAGTGAATTTTGTAACTAGCTCATCAAGATTGTAACTTGCTTAGCTAAATGAATTGTGGGGTTCAGTCCCTGAGCCCATTATGTGCCTCTGTAACCCTTTCCACTAATGCCCACAAGATGGGTATGGGGTGCATAATAAATTAACTAAAACTAAACTCAATATGAATTCATTTAAGACCTAAATTTGCAAACTAGTATATTAATCCTCATGCTGATATGCACAATAGGCTGTGGCTTTTGTAAATTTTTTACTTGTGCTTTATGCTAATACTTTTCAAAAAATTAAAAAATAAAATTAATGGAAAACATGTCTTGATAATGGTCCAGGACGGACCGAAACATCGTCGTTTCTTCGTCATCTGGTGTGTGGTTTAGTCATCATATTTTAAGCCACATTATTGAGACTCATCGTCTGCTTAATTGCAAATGATGTGGATCAAATGCAAGATATCCTCAAATCTTCCTGTACAGCATCATCATATAATGAAATGAAATGAATCAATCTTTTTTCTAACTGTGAGAATGATCTATTATCCACTGCACTCACTACAATGAACTTGTAAATTACTAGCTGTGTTGTACCTATGTACACTCTAACGTCCACTCCCAAAACATGCAATCTGCATTTATTCTTTACAATATACTGGAGCATACGTGTAGTGGACTATGGCAGTTGTTCTACCCTCAAAGTCCAGCCCAAGTCCAGGTTTGACTTGTGATAACCTGGTCCTAAAGGCTGGTACTTGGGAGTGCCCTTCAGGCTCACATAACTAGTACAACCTAGTTGGTCTGGCACTTCTTTTCAGGAAATTTTCTAATTGTTTCTTGAACATGTCCACTTTTATTCAGACAACATTTCTTATGTTTGTTGGGAGGGTACTGAATAACCATCTTGAGGTTATCTCGAGATGATTTTGGGGCTTTATTTTCCCCACGGACCGGTCCTCGACCAGGCCTCCATCCCCAGGAAGCAGCCTGTGACAGCTGACTAACACCCAGGTACCTATTTACTGCTAGGTAACAGGGGCATAGGGTGAAAGAAACTCTGCCCATTGTTTCTCGCTGGCGCCCGGGATCGAACCCGGGACCACAGGATCACAGTCCAGCGTGCTGTCCGCTCGGCCGACCGGCTCCCATATACCAATGATATTCATGCAGTGTTCTCTGATTGCATCTATGGCACCTCTACTCTTCATAGAATCTGTTCTACATTCCCTACCATATATTTCGCTCCAGTATGTAGTTATTTTGGTCTGCGTGAATTTGGGGTATTTCCCATCGAATTTACTTCCAGTATCTTCGATGTATGTAATTTATGATACCTCTCATCTTTCTAGGGAGTGCATTTTTAGGGTTTTGATATGCGTTCCAATAATTTAGTTCCATTATTGTGTCCTTCACAATATGCATTTTTTCACATTTCTCATTCTCAACAACTAGTCATCTTGTTTTAGGTCTAGGCCTTATAATAAAGATCTATGATACAAACAAAATAAATATGGATAATGAAAGCAATCGAGGATGAAATACAATTTCAGGAATATGGCTCAAGATGCTGTACTGAAGATCTTGCATCATAACTCACCATATCGTTCTTGGTGTAAATATATTCACCAAAATACCGAGGTCTGGCTCTCCCAGCCGTGCCATTAAGTGAAGGAGAAGTGGAAAAGGGTCGCATGGAAGCTTCAGGTCGTGGAGGAACCTGCAAGCACAACAATAAACGTGAGATATACACGTTTACAGGACAATGTGACATACACATTTACAAAACAGTGAGACATACAAGTTTATGAAACAGTGATTTTCCCAAGTATTGTACAGTACAGTACTTGGTACTGTACAGTACTTGGTATTATTCAGTACCTAAGTACCTTATAGCACACTTTGTGAGAAACAGAATGACGTGTTTTAGTACAGAGCTAGTAATGTTAAAATAGGAACTGTTTTTGATTAACTATTTATTATATTAAAAATTGAAATTCATTAAAGGAGTGAACAACAAAAATTAGATCACACATGAATCTTGGATCATAAATAGGAGGCTTGGCATCAAGTCTGAGCATAATCAGAGAATTATGTATAAAGTCATATCGGCTTAATGCTTTCTCCTCATAATTGCCTTATGTTAGAAAATTATTGTGTTTTTTCTCAAAAAGTTTATAATAATTTTATTTTTAAACTAAATAAGCTTACAGTGAGAAAGGACCTGGGTGTATGATGGCTTAGAAATACAGTATTGTTATAGATTTATTGAACATGTTACCAGGTATTAGAATATACGTCGGGTCACTTAATTGTTTCACACATAAGTTAGCCAAACATATGAATTGGACTTGTTGGACATAAGAGTTGTCTTGTAGGGACCAATAATATTTTTTACAGTTTTCATTATTCTTCTTATGATTGAATACAACAATGAATGTAGATTATACAGTAATTTGGATGAAAAATAAAAAGCTAAACATGTTTTGATTGAAGGCAATCAAGTGCAAGATACCCAGTTGCTATGCCAGATACTGGATAATACAATTTATATTAATATTCTTAAAAGCAAACATTGTAACTCCTCCCTTTATACATACATTTAATACATATGGACATACAAAGTTAGAAAGAGAATGAGTGAGGTGTGGGAATATGGATGGTGGAACTATAGTTTGGTTGTTGGGTTTGGGGGTTTTGTGTAATAACCTCAGTGTAGTAACAGGATGAGAGCTATGCTTGTGGTGCCCTGGCTTCCCAGTACCCTGTAGCCAGTATCTCTTCCCTGAGAGAGAGAGAACTCTATCAACATCAGAGGCCCAAGACTGTTCAACACGCTTCTACAACACATAAGGGGCATAACTGGCTGACCCCTCACAGTGTTCAAGAGAGAACTCAATAAGTACCTCCAACAGATACCTGATCAACCAGTCTGTGATTCATACATCAGGCTGCAAGCAGCCGTGTCCAACAGCCTGGTTTACCAGTGCCTCCCACTTAGTGACGATCGAGTTTGAATTCTTTGTAAAGAATTTCATTGTTCTTCAACTTTTTAGGGTTTTGAACATAAAAGTAATTATTACATATCATGCCATGGGTCACAAAAAAATTAGTGGTAAAGTTCAACCCTAAGAAAACACATGAGAGGATGACCATAGAACAAAAGCAATAGATCATTTATAAACTTGAAAATGGTACACAGGTTGTTGAACTAGCTAGGTCGTACAACAAATCTATGTCAACGATATGCACTGTAATTGCTATGAAAAAGACATTATGAGTGCTAACGTGGCAAAAGATGCACTGTATCAACAATCATGAAACAAAGAACACAAACACTGGAGGATGTTGAAAAGTTGTTATTAATTTGGATACACAATAAGGAGTTAACAGGTGATAGCGTTTCAGAGGCCAACATTTGTGAAAAAGCAATGCTATTGCATGAAGATCTTATAAAGAAAACCCTTGGAATGAGTGATGCAGAAACGAAAGTGTTTAATGCAAGCAAGGGGATGGTTTGAGAAATTTAGAAAAAGAAGTGGCATTCACAGTGTTGTGAGAGTTATGAGTGTTGTGTGTTGTGAATTGGTGGAGGAACACAGCGAAGAACTGACCACTGAAGAAATCCTAGCCCTTCACAATGAGTGGCAACAAGAGGCAGCTGAGGAAATTTCTTCAGGGAAGGAGGAGGCAGTACAGAATGTCCCTTCCTCAAAAATTAAGAAGTGGTGTAGACTATGGGAAGAAATAGAAATTTTTGTTGAAACGACTCACCCAGAGCAAGCTGTAGTAAGCCGTTGCCTTAACCTTTTTAATGACACTGTGATGCCTCACTACAGACAAATGTTACAACGTAGGGAAAAACAAGTCTCTATGGTAAGGTTTTTAGTAAGAAACCAAGCAGTGAGCCACAACCAGGTCCTAGTGGTATGCAGGCAAAATGTAGGAAATAGTGTACTCAAGAGAAGTCATCAGTGCCTGATGTTATAATGGAAGGGAACTTCCCATCCAAACACTAACACCTCTCCTCCCCTCCTCCTCATCGTCTTCCATATGCCAACAAGAGTCGTCAATAAAGGTAACCATTAACTTGTACATACTATACTATGCTACTAAATATTTATGTGAATTAGGTATGAAATGTATTTTGAAGTTAATATTTTTGGGAGTGTGGAACGGATTACAGTAATTCAATTTACATTATTTCTTATGGGAAAATTTGTTTCGGGTTGCAAATTTTTGGGTTACGAACCATCTCTGGGAACGAATTAAATTTGTAAACAGAGGGGCCACTGTACTGTATTAGGTCTCAGATAGTGTGTATTAGGCCTAGGAAGGTTAGGTTAGTTTAGTGTGTCTTTGCAACATAAATACAAAATCTTTTTTGTTTTGTCCAAATTCAATAGTACCAATTTCTACTTTCTAATCGTGTTGTATGTCGGTATATGTAGATTAGATAAGATAATGTACATTCAGGTAAAAGTACATACATTCAAATTAAGTTACAAATATAATGTTGGATTTTTAGAAAGAGCTAGTACACACTATGCCTAAAGCCACTAATACGCACAGCGTTTCGGGCAAAGGTACTATGGTCCTCATTGTTACTATAAATGCAGTACTAGTACTACCAAAACAGGAGGATGGGCTGCCCTCCCTCAGAGGCACAGAGAGCAATGATATTTGTTTTCACAACCTCACCAGGAAAGAATACCAGAAAATCAGCGAGTCAAAACAAATGACTGCTGGACTGCCTGGAGCTCCATGTGCCCAGGGTTTCCTTCCTAGCACTGTCTATCCTAGCCCCTAGCGCTGTCCTTGTCCTGCCAGACTTATCTTCTCTGGAGTGTTCAGGAGTCACTCCCTTAAGGGTCCACCTCGCTTGTGGTGGCTCTCGCCCAGGCTAAGTCAGGTGTCTTGTGGTTCTCCTGTCTTAACCTGGGTTGGGTGCGAGATTGGTTAGTGGGTTGCACTTGGTGGTGCACCCCTCAATGTTTCTGGTGTGCCGAGGTTGGCCTTCACAGCTGCGAGAACCAAGCTGTGTCAGTTTACTTTTAGGTCTGGCATAGTGCCTGGGTGTCCTGCTTGGTTTACTGAAGTCTTCAGGTTCTGGAAATACCCTGCAGGTTCAGTGGTTTTATGGATATTCTTCCTAAGCCTGCTCTCACTTCGTGTGAGTTTGATACATTGGTCACCGTCCATGTCACTAGGCAACAATCATTCCTTCTGCCTCTGCCATGCTGTCTGTTGGATCATTGACACCTTTGACTCTTAGTCATGTGAGGTTTGATGTCCCATGTGACTCCTTTCAGACCTTCCTGATGAGGGTAGGACTTACCAGGCAGCAACTGATTCGCGTGTTCATTTTCCTAAGTTACAATAGTCTATATTATGTGCCCAATTCGATGCCCCGAAGCTGCCTATTAGGTGTTTAGGGACCCGTAATTGGAGGTGTTGGTGAACTCCAACTTGGCTTTGTCCACACCTTTTTTTCTTTGAGTACAGTTCCCCTCCTTCCTCTATTCCTTCTCCACTGCTTCTGGCCTTGAAGCCTCTAAGGGGTTTCCATGTCAGGGCAGGGTTTAGCTTAGGATATGGCTCAGCCAGCTCCGGGAGGATGCCCCTCCCAGGAATTATCTTTTTTAAGATAACATGTTTAAATGTATCTAAACAACTGAAAGTACGGTTTAATAAAATATTAAAGCATTATTTTGAAACACTATACATTGATAATACATTGATGTACGTACTGTGTGGCCATAGTGAAAAAATGGTATAAATCAGAAATTTTTGTATCTGAAGTATAGATCTCTAGCTGTGTTAATTTTAGTTTAGTGACCCACTTCCTCCAGCTATTTATTTTGTATCCACAACATCAAAAGAAGTACAGCACAGTATTGCTGTAAATTTAATATAAAACCTCACAAGTGAGCAAATGGTCCAAAATATCAGTCAAATGGTTGTATCTTACTTCTGGTGGGGTGTCTGAATCACTGTCACTGTCGTTGCTCATGGTCGTGTTGCTGTTGTTGCTGCTGTTGCAAGTGGGCCTGATGCTGTCGTTGACAAACCATCGTGGGCTTTCAGAGTCCTGTGGAGATTCCCGATTGTACGAGAGGTTATCAAATCGTGACACCTGCAAAATAATGTCTTTGTATTATGCATCATATATAAATATACAGTATAGAATAGATCATAATTACCAAACACACCATATAATATATACTTCATGTGTGGTTAGTTATAAATATCTTTCTTACCGTGTACATCCAACCTTCACTATAAGCTAAGATGTCAGTGCATGTTTAATCATGAATACCAAACTTAATCCTTACACTGCAACAAGTGAAATAACAAGTAAATCAACATTGCTTTCATCACAAAAATCAAATATTAAATAGAATAAAATACCCTTTTCTGGGAGGCCTCAGTGGCTCCCCAGTGCACTGACAGATGCAGCCACAAAACTACCACACCTCTGGACTTGTGCTGGGCTACCAAACACAAGAATCACAAACACAAAATGAGCCCACAAGAATCTGGTGGGCTCATTTTCAGAATTGCTCAACTTTCAGAACCATCTCCAGACCAAAACTACCAGCCATCCAACATATTTCTACTTCCCATATTTTCCCACATACCTTCACTACCCCATACCAGTGTACCTGGATAAGGTTCTGGGAGTTCTACTCCCAAGCACGGCCCAGGGCCAGGTTTGACTTGTGACTGGGACATAAGAACAAAGGTAACTGCAGAAGGACTATTGGCTCATACGAGGCAGCTCCTATTTATAACCACTCATATACATGTCCAACCCATGCTTGAAACAATCGAGGGACCCCACCTTCACCATGTTACGCGGTAATTGGTTCCACAAATCAACAATCCTGTTATTGAACCAGTATTACCAAAGGCACTGGAGGGACCTGGCCCTCCAATGCCTTCCATATACTGTACTGTATATATCTGTTGATACTTTTCTAGTCTCCTCTTATTTCTTTCTCCGTCTTATCCAGAAAATCCAATTCCACCCCACTACTATCCACCCCCCACCCCCTCTCCTTTACTCTACGCAGCCTATCCATACACCTGAACCCAGTCAGTACTCCCACTCCCAGGCAGAATACTAGTCAAACCAAGGATAAAATAATAATTTAGAACCTGAACATTTGACAGTCCATCACCAATGATGATGGACTGTCAAATAAAGCAGATTAACTCAAATACCTGATAACACAAACCCCGATGTAACTGCAATTCTCAACACTAAAATAATTAGTAAAATAATAAGTATCAGGTAACATAATGAGAAATGACAGAAAGGGGAAGCAGTGTTGTGTAACTGGTCAGAAGAAACAAGACTTTTGCAGATACAGTATCATAAACTGAAGAGGCAAATATAATGTAACTGGAAATAAAAGGAATGTTCAAAGCTAGAACAGCAGAGATAGAGTGCACAGATGGAAACTATAGACACTGATGAGTTACAGAAATGTTTGAAAATTATTAAACACAGTAAATATGCACAAGTGAGGCTACAAAGTACAACAGAAAAAATCAATTATCACTACATCAACCTAAAATTAAATATCTTTCAGGTAATGTGATGCATATTACAAACAAATAAATGTGGGGTACATATTCCTCTAAACACCATAGTGGAAAATTATCCCAATAAACAAACAAACAAGATAATAAAGTAATTATGCCTGCAGACAAGCACTGCAGAAACTGTAATAATAACTGGAATTTATCCCAGTTATATAAATGGCAGGTGTGTCAAACTGAAAGAAAGTTGTTTCTAGGAGAGAAGCATGAGCAAGTCTCACCTTATCAACAAACTCCTGAGTGTCTGTGTGGGCAATTTGGAGGTGTAATGGTGTGGGCGGTGTCTTGCGGGGTGGCACGGGCGGCTTGGTCTCTCCGGAAGGTGTCACTGAGCCGCTGGCATTACTAGTGATGGCAGCAGCAGTGTCATTGGACATGTGGAAGTATTCTGGGTTGTCCACAGCTGTTGGCAAAGACAACTGTTGTAGATAAGGCTAAAATAAATACAGAACATGTTAGAAAAGTCTACAATAGTCTATGCTAACCTGTGCTGGTATACTATGAAGTAATCAGTTCATAAACTACATTCATTTAAATAGGATACAATCCAAGTGAGTGAAAAGATATGATCATTCAGTTATCACTCCCTCTGCCATGACAACATAATCCTGCACAGTTTGTGTTAACCCCTTAAGCTGCATGGCTTGTAATATTATGTTTTGTGTATGAAATGAATGGAGAGCTGTTTTCATAATATTTCATTTTACCATGTGGCAGCCAGTAGAAAATTGATGGTTAAGAAATGACACTTTTGCTATCAATATATGACTCTGTAGCTCAAATAAGTTAACAACAAATAATACAATTTACTTTGATATTGATATAAAACTATTACATTACATGTACTTGATAAAGCGTAAAAAATAGTTTTAACAATCAATATATAAACTGGTATTATTACTGCTTTGTAAATAGTAATAAATATTAAAGCCATTTATATACAGTATTAGAAAATGTATTAGAGTTGACCAGACCACACACTAGAAGGTGAAGGGACAACGACGTTTCGGTCCATCCTGGACCATTCACAATCGACTTGAGAATGGTCCAGGACGGACCGAAACGTCGTCATCCCTTCACCTTCTAGTGTGTGGTCTGGTCAACATACTTTAGCCACGTTATTGTGACTCATCGCCTGTATTAGTTATAATACAGAATAATTCCTATGTAATAATGAGTGTAGAGTTGAAGCCTACATACAAACACACTAAGCGGCATGTGGCCAGCAACAGCAAAATTAGTTTCCGAGCATGACTTGTGAATGCACAAGACCAGTATTATGGTAAGAATAATTTTGTATACTAATATTCCTACACCTACCTTCCTCATTTGTGGGGTTGTTGGACTATTTCAAGTGAAGGTTTGACATACAGTATAGGAATGAGTTTAAGTGGATATAAATAGTAGCACCTTGTACGGGCCAATAGGTCTTCTGCAGTTTCCTTATTCTTATGTTCTTATAAATTTCTTTCACTCTTTAAACAAATATATATGCCCCTTCCCCCACCACCAGAGATCTAAAGGAAATTCTTAAAGTTCTTGGTAGGATAAATAAACCCAGTTGCTGAGACACTATTGTTGGAGATCACAAAGTTTATCAACAATGGCTGCTATGACTGATCCCAGATATAATTAAACCCTTCTTCTTCTGAGCATCCCTTTGTGCCCTAAAGATGAAAGATGGTGGTGCTGGATATTTGGACTTTTGAAGGAACTACTGCTACAAAGAGATGGCTTACTGACTATCAACCTCTCCCTGAAAGATGATCAATGGGACCAAGCAACACCACCAGTTATTCTTGGTTGTATAGGTGTATGCAAGGCAACACAGAAAGCATTGCCTGCATTCTTATCCTCGACCAATGTTGCAAGTAACTTAGTGAGATCCTACCAAAGTACTTAAGAGACTCCACTGGGATTCATGATCCCAAATTCACTGAAGAAGCCAGCCAGTGGGACACTCTTACAGGCTCAAACCCCAACCAAGTTTTCTGAACAACTACAAACAGGCTAAATGGGATAATCCCATAGTGGAGAACATAGCTTCAGCAAAGCTGGTGGCAGCTTCTGGCAAGGATAAATCATGCCTCCTCACTATGCAAGCCCTAAATGCATCGGTAGACCAATTTGGCAGACACGGTCTCCTCTGTCATAAATCGGAGGGAAAGATTGCTAGACATAAAGCATTCCACTATGACATCATTAAGAGAAGTTTGGCTACAGATAAATGTCCAGCACAAAGGGAACCTCAAATGTGCAGACCTGACAAAAAGTCATAAACATCAGATTGAGTTACCCTGCATCCATGGAGGGATGGTAAACATGTTGTACCTGGAGCATACCTGGAGAGGGTTTTGTGAGTTGCTCTACTCCCTGAGCCAAGCCTAGAGTCAGGCTTGATTTGTTATGACCTAGTCCAACAGGCTGTTGCTTGGAGTGGCTCGCAGGTCTACATATCCACCACAACCCAGTTGGTGTGGCACTTCTTGTAGGAACTTATCTAAATGTTTCTTGGAGATATCCACTTCAAGAACATTGTGTGGGACTGCACATGTGCATCTACATTACCGATATGTATCTACAGTACAGTAGAGTTGAGGGGTGGCTGCCACCTTTAGGGAGACCGAGAAAACTAATAAGTATAAGAGCCTGGAACATTGTTATAGGTTTGTGTCAATAGGCTCCAAGACCCTGGGCTTACTTGCTTAATACCTGCTTGATGGGGTTCTGGGAGTTCTTCTACTCCCCAAGCCCGGCCCGAGGCCAGGCTTGACTTGTGAGAGTTTGGTCCACTAGGCTGTTGCTGACTCCTGATCACTCTCAAATACTTTTATTATGTGGGACCTTAGTGCAACTGGTCTATAATTTGTACAACAAGGGCCAATGCTTTGCTCCCTCCCTTGTGTAGGAGCTATGTCTGCTGATTTAAGTGCATCTGGTATCTCCCCCCCTGTCCAAGTTCTTCCTCCACAATATACTGAGTGCTTGTGCTACTGGCACTTTGCAGTCTGAGCACTTGGGATACGTGTGCACTTAATTTCCTGAAGGAGGTGGGTGTTATTGTGTTGATTTAGGGGCGACGACGATCGTTAGGTGGGGGGGTGAGGAACTCATTAAGGAAAGAGAGACCCAAGAACAGCCAGTTTCCTGTTCCAGCACCTCAGTGCCGTGATCCAGAAGAAATGTTTGCTGTATCTTGGACATGCATCCTACCTCGACAGAGCTGGATAAGGTCTTCAATGACACAAAAATGGAAAAAGACACGGGAATGGAAATTGTAAATTAAAACCTTATGGATATATTGATGTGGCATGTTACAGGTATAGGTGTGCGTAAAGGAAGAGAGGCAAACAGGTGTGTGGGGTTAGATGTGTGAGGACAGGTATGAAGGGACAGGTGTGAGAGCACAGGTGTGAGAGGGGGGACAGACGTCAGTTTAGTGACGTCAATGAAGTGGACGACGTTACCGCTCAGTAATTTATGACGTCACTACCAATTAAGTACGCCTTTGATATCAAATTATAATCATTGAAGTGTGCAGAAACATATTTGTGTGTGAGCTTTGACAAGTAAGTGTGTATTTACAATTTGTATTTAGTATTTGTGCCTGCAGAATCGAGCTATTAGCTCTTGGACCCCGCCTTTCTAACCAATTTATTTTCCACTATTATGTCTACTAGCACACACTACTACTACTAGTGTGTGTGTGTGTACTCACCTAGTTATGCTTGAGGGGGTTGAGCTTTGGCTCTTTGGTCCCGCCTCTCAACTGTCATCAACTGGTGTACAGATTTTTGATCCTTTTGGGCTCTATCAAATCTACATTTGAAACTGTATATGGAGTCAGCCTCCACCATATCATTGCCTAATGCATTCCATTTGTTAACTACTCTAACACTGAAAAAATTCTTTCTAATGTCTCTGTGGCTCATTTGGGTACTAAGTTTCCACCTGTGTCCTCTCGTTCGTGTCCCACCCGTGCTAAAGAGTTTGTCTCTGTCCACCCTGTCAATTCCCCTTAGAATTTTGTAGATGGTTATCATGTCTCCCCTTACTCTTTTGTTTTCCATGGACGTGGAGTTTAGCGTCCTTAGCCTTTCCTCGTAGAACACGATAGAACTTGTGTGTGTGTTTGTGTAATTACCAAAGTGTAGTTACAGGATGAGAGCTACGCTCGTGGTGTCCCGTCTCACCCAGTACTCTTTGTCGAATAACGCTTGAAACTATTGACGGTTTTGGACTCATGGCCTCTCATTTAGCTTTTTCCAACCGTCTACCACCCTGTTTGCAAATGAAAACTTTCTAATGGTTTTTCGGCACTTTTGTTTCCTTAGTTCTTACATACATACATTACATTCTTATACAGTCACCAGCACGCATAGTGTTTCGGGTAAATCCTTAATCCTAATCTTCACCGGAATACGAACCGCCAAATCGTTTAACAACCTGATACCCATTTTACTGTTGGGTAAACAGAGGCTACAGTTAAGTACGCTACAGAGGCTCCCCGGCCAGGATTCGAACCCAGGACAGAGCGCTCGCGGAACGCCAGGCGAGCATCTTACCACTACACCACGGAGAACTTGAATCTATGTCCTCTTGTTCGTAAAGTTGCTGGTTTCAGGAATTCCTCTTTGTCAATTTGGTCGATCCCTGTTAGTATTTTGTAAGTGGTGATCATATCACCTCTTTTTCTTCTATCTTCTAGTTATGGCATGTTTAATGTCTGGATCAAGGTGAATCATGATTTCAGTCTATCCACGTTTCGTGCAGTGTTCCATACCTGCTTGATACTTGCTTGATGGGGTTCTGGGAGTTCTTCTACTCCCCAAGCCCGGCCCGAGGCCAGGCTTGACTTGTGAGAGTTTGGTCCACCAGGCTGTTGCTTGGAGCGGCCCGCAAGCCCACATATCCACCACAATCCGGTTGGTCCTGAACTTTTTTTAGGAAACAATCTAGTTTTCTCTTGAAGATGTCCACGGTTGTTCCGGCAAGCATGTATTAACCAAGTATTACTCAAGTATTAATCCATGGTATTAATACTGGTAATAATGTTTGCGTCATCAGTAAACACCGAGAGGTTGGCATCTATCCCCCTCGGGAAGATCATTTACATGTACCAGACACACAATCACTTGTAGAAGTGATCCCTGTGGGACACCGGTGCTAACATCTGTCCACTTGGGAACCTCTCCGCCCACTGTGGTAAGGATGGATGCGGGCGAGGGTGTATTGACACGGATGAATGTGGATGCGGGTGGTGATAGGTGTGGGTGGCAGTGGGTGTGGGTGGCTTCAAAGCACCCTGCCACATCCTATACCCTGTTTACACTACTCTGGCTCAGATAACGTTGGAGTTAGGGATGAGCCCCCAGTCTCCTACTCTTATCTTTGTTTATATTT